TCAAAATACAAGACAAAGAACATATTCATTTGTTCCAACATATTTCAAGTCAAGGACAAGATCTATGCCTGATAGAACATGGCTGTTGTTCTGTACTACCTGAGGAAAAATCCTTCATTTTTATTTATGCATCTTTTCTGACATTATCATGCAAAGGCTTGTTCACAAGGTCTCCTCCACTTTGTATTCAATGAAGCAGAAAACAGAAAAGCGAAATGTGTTGCCCAAGGTCTGGTCTCTGTCTTTGGATTTAAACTGTGCATATTTTACTTTGCAAACACTAAGGCATGATTATTATTTTTCTTCTGTGTCCCACTTTTTTAAATGTAAGCTTCTATTCACTGTAGGTCTTTATTACTTTTATTTCTGGGATGATATCTGTTAAAAAAAAAATGTTTAACTGCATAAGCAAAGTTACTCTGTTCATGACTGATTTGATAGAAGACACATCTGTTGATCTGTGTTTAGTCCAATTAGAAGTTAGTGGCTTGACACTACTTTAAGTGCATTTGAAAGAGACTGAGAGAGTGTGAGCATGAATAAACCATGTGCTTAAGTGGTGTCACTGGGCTGCTGTGTTGGCATGTCTGCATAGCTCTGGAAAAACATGGCTGTCTCTTGGGTGTTGTCTGTAATCCAACATGCAAAGGCTGCAAGATGGCTTCCTTAGGTGACTCATATATATGCCTATATTAAAGAAGTTAATAACCTTTTCACTTAATATTTCTATAAAGCCTCACCAAAATTATTATGGTCATCTCACTCTATTATAATACCTTGCCTAAGGTCTTACAACTAGGACCACATTTTTCCACCTCTGCTTATCGGATTTCCACTAACAGCCGTTTGACTGATATTTTCTCCTGGTATTTTGTAGATTACTAATTTGTGCATGCTATTAGTGCATAGATATAGTCAGACAGTAATTTTGGGACTGTTAAAACCTTTATATGGCTGATTCAGGAGTAATAACAACAGCAGTTGTTGCTGTCTGTGTGTATTTGTGGTCATGCATGTTTCACTAAGTGTCAGGCTGCATCTTGTCACCACAGCATTCTCAGAGAGGGATAAGTATGTAAGCACAGAAATGGATCTATGGTAATGTACCACAAACTCATTTGGTTGAATAATATACATGTTGGGAATATGACTTAGACAGGAACTGATCATATGAATAACTGATTTTATAAATATTTAAATGTTATTTTGCTATCTCTTTGTTTAGTCCATTTGAAAAAAATATCTTTATTATTATTTTTAACCAGCGCACTCCTTAGGCTTTCATGGTTCAGAGTGATGTTAGCTTTTCGTTCATAGATGTGTCCTTCATCACTTTCAGCATTTCATTGATTACCCTCCTTCACAAGCAATCAAATTTAATGTAGATTTTTTTTCACACATATCTTTGACAGTCAAAGTTTTTAAAAAATTATTTTTCAAATCATTGATTTACTGATCTTTTTCCATTTTTTTATACTTTGAGTCTTGTAGGTTTCTTACATTTCATCTGCATGGTAGACTATCAGGCTCTCTCTGAGTTGGCTGGTACAGATATTGTCTTACTGAATTACAAAAGAGAAATAAATAGGGTTCAATTTAAATATAGAATATGTTTCTTCTTTTAAAATATTTCTGAGACAGATTTTATTGCATGTTTTATATCCCAGTAAACCTGTTTTATCTTCTGTTCCGGCTTCTGTCTCTGTGCTCTGCTGAAAAACACATAACATGATGATGTCTACTAACATATTGATGCCAGAAAAACTTATTTCAATTCACCTCTGCATGACTTTAAAAGCTCAGCAATTTAGGATATCTGGAAGCTCAGCAGTCTAATGAATTTTTTTGTTCAATAAGACATGAGTAAATTTTAACCTTTAAATCTGAGTCATAGTCCTCTGGTGAGTCAAGCTGAATTGCCTTTTTTTTATTAGTTAGGAAGAATAATACATTCAAATGGTGTGTTTTATACAAAGCATTACATTATGATAATAACTTGCCTAGTATAAACTTACAATCTGTTGCTGTTTAACTTTTTTTTGGTGGCATCTCTCATTTTATGTCATCTCCTGACTTCTAATTAAAAATATTACACGAAGCACACAGTTGATATTCACTGCCACTGTTTGTTATCTCTCCTCCAATTATGTATCTTCCATGAACGCTGTAAATAACCAGCACCAATCATGTTATGTGTCAAGTGACAGATACACTGATGTCACATCAGTAGACAGAATATGGGAGCAGGGGGAGTAAGAGAAAAAGACACTGACTGAAAACACTCTGAAAGCAGACAGCTGCACTCATTCTGAGTTACTGTTGGCTAAAGGAAATTAGCATAAAGGAAAACAAATGTGCAAATTATAGTTTGGGACTGTCCCTGCCAGGCCGAAGTTGGAGAGACCTGTCCGTGCAGGTAACGCCTGTGATTAACAGCCACCCGATTGGCAACATAGAGCATATTAAATGTTCCTTTATGGGATTCATATGAAGCTTTATTATTTGGGAAGATTTCCAAGTTTTGTTTTTGATATTTAATCTTATAAATTTAACTTTATTTAACGTTTTCAGAGCACTTTAATAAACTTCTATAAAGTAAACTAGAAATACAATTAATCATTATTATCACTGTATTTATTTATTTATTTATTTTTACAATTATCACTATTGCCTCTCAATTCCATGTCTTAGAACCTCATCTTTCCTTTACTGCCAGTCAAACTGCCAGCAGCTCACAATTTGCTCATTTAAACCCTCAATCCTGTAGCATTATATTTTCATTGTTTACAATGGCAAGGCCTGCAAACTTGCTTTACAAGTTTATCAAACTTGACTCTTGTGTCTGTTGCATTCAGTCCAGAAGGCTGTAACATAGTGATTGTACTCAATCACAGTTTTTCATGAATGTACTTCTAAAGGGATGGATGTCTACCTTCATGCTATCTTGACCAAGCTGACATCCACATGTTAAGAATGAAGCAATTTCTCCTTTGTTCCTGTTCGTCGAAACGTGTCCCAGGTTAAAGTCTTTTATGGCCTCCAGCATGTTTTCTTCCACAATGTTTCTTTAGGTTCCTTTATATTCCCTCTATCAACCTTGACGAGCTTCCATGTCATCAGGGGAGAAAGGTATCTTTGCAGCATGCTACTTGGGTAATGTTTTACAGCCACAACCTTCAATTAAAATCTCATTTTACATCAGCATCTTCATCCACCTGTTTGCTCTTGTCCCTTCATGGCTTTTGCAAACCTTAGACATCATGTCATGCCGTGGATCTCTGCAGCTCCCCTCTCCGTTTGCCTCCAGTTGTTTTTCCTCTCTGGTTTTTATTAGGGGAATCAGAGGATACACATGCATGCGGCATTTTTTTTATTTGTTTGTAAATGAAGAATTAAAATCATCGTAATGTTGTATTGATTCACTATTAAACTTTACAAATAATTTGTCTGATAACATTTCAAAGTGTGATAAAAGCTGTGGTTGGGATGTGACAAAATTTTGGTTCAATTCTGCTCCAAGGATTTTGAAAACTATCTAAGGCATTGTGTTATCCAGCGATTGTGGTGGAAATTTGCTCAACATTTTGATTTGCCTCTGTGTGAAACAGTAATGGTCAGAATAATGCCATTTGATTTTTATTCTCTCTGAACAGCATGGTTTCATCTGGCTGCAGTGACACAATCCTGCTTTGCCCCGCTGACACTCAGATGATTCATAGTCGACACTATAATTGAAAACATTGAGAGGAGTTAGATGACTACTCTCCTTTTTTCCTGAGTACTTCATATTTCCATGGAGAAATGCCTCACAATGCTGATTATAGATAAAAGTGTTATTGATCAGATGAGGTGGGAGGAGAGGCAAAGAGGTGCAGAAGTTTCCCATCACTAATCTTTCTGGCTGTGACTGCATCTAAATAACCTGCAGAAAGGGATAAACAGGAGCATCCATCATGGGACAGCTAGAGCAGACAGAGATGGATGCCTCCGCCCCCCCTGCTACCCTCTGTCGCACCTCTCCCTCCTGGTCAGGGATAGAAGGTGACGCCCACCCCCAGGAGAAATACCTCGATCTAACCTGTGCAAGAATAGGCCTGTTTTTAGGTAGACTTAATAGACGGGACTTTTTTAAAATGTCCCTTCTCCATCATGTTCTCTCTTTAAGATTGCAGAAAAATCCATTTTGATATTGCTGTTTTGGTGAAGAAATTGGCTTATTTCATTCAGATTTTGTTTATGAAGTATTTTTGTGTGTGTGAACAATTTTTCTTAACATAAATTGATTTGGGTGTGCATTTCTTTTCTGTCAGCTTGTTTTTGCCCTGTGAGCCCAATCCCTCTCTAATGCCTGAACCCACTGAACAGGCATGCCCATGCCAGCTCTCCTCAGAAGTGCCAGTCTGACAGATATAGTGTGTATGTGTGTGTTTGCCACGGTGCGCTTTCCCTCCTAAACCCTGTAGCGTTAAGATTGATCCTTCGTTCCCTCCCATTTCTTTCTCTCTTGTTCCTCTGTGTGCCTCTGCCTTAATGAGACTGTGAATAGGTAAAGCTCACAGGCTCCAGCAGATGGCCAGAACTGCCCTGCTTCACTGTCTGAACACACACACACACGCAACTCTGCAGCATGTTTGCTCATGAATGAGAAACCTAAAGGACTGAAGAGGCAGAAGGAAATTCAACAAGGAAAGGAAATAAACAGGAAGCAATAGAGGAGAGGAAAGAGTCAAACTAATGGGAACCACTAACAAATAACATGCAGAAGGGGAAATGGAAAAAAAGGGAGGGGGGCTGCTTAAAAACCGAGAGCATATGCAAAAAGAAGAGGAGGACAAAACTGCGCTGAAAAGAGAGTGAGAGCAAAATTGAATTGTAGATTGAGGGAGCCTCTCTCCTCCCTCTCTCCCTCCCTCTTTTATTTATCTCATGTGAGACCACGCCTCCATCCTTTCACTTGTCAGTGCATCCATAACAGTGAGCTGTCTGCACCGGGCTGTGTGGGGGGTGAGACTCGCTCATCACTCCGCCAGAACAAGCGGACTGGATCTGAACAGAGCAGACAGGAGCGGATGGTGTAGCCTGGCCAAACAGGTGCGTGAATGAATACCTGTTCATGAATATCTGTTATAACAGCTGACAAATAGCAGCATGTGTATGTATTCACCGCCCCATCTGCATGCATGATCCCGGTCGTCTGCAGGACTTGCTTCCTTCCAGAGTAGAAGGTACAGTGCTGGAGCTTTGCCCTAGTTTACACTTGAATGCTCTGATCCATTCTGTTTGCCTCCGAGATTTATGCATGTCGCTAACTGGGCTGCTCGTTGGACTAAAACAGATCAGACCTCTCGTTTAACGGCTGCTCCACAGGATTTGGCTCCAAGTCAGATCAGCGAGTCATTTGGCTTCTGTTTACTCTGTGGGCAAAGTTGGAGTTTTAGCGACAGACCCTGGGTCATGTGGCTCTGCTTGGTTTTTAAACAACTCTCTGCAACTTAAATTATTGTTTTGCATCATTGTTTTAGACCATCAGACTGCATTTTATTCAATAAAGCAACATCACATATCATCTATAGTGCTTCTTTTGTCTGATTTGATGTTCTGTGTGCTACTGTTTTACACTCTACGACAACAATCTGATATAGCTTTCATTAGATTACAGCAAAGGGGAAAATGTTACTGCTGTTACATTCAAAAGTAGTCCTTGGTGAAAAGCTTTACCTTGTGGGAACCTTTTTTAGAAGCCAGTATGGCGTCCAGTAGTCAGCGTTCATTTTAGAGTCGCCATTTCAACATTTGTAGCCACCCTACCGACAACTGGTCTCAGTAGATGTACTCAATATCAGTGTTTTGTCAATAGCTTTATGGGTCAAAAGGCTGTGTCATCACCAAGCGGTGGTGGTTAAGAGCAGCGAGGGGAGCAGGGTGTGAGTGCTGACCTAATGGCTAAAATATTTATGACAGAAGCATCTAAACATCCCTGAATGCTGTCTGTAGTGCTCTGGGATCGATGAATGCAAAGATGAGAGGATGGATGGAAAGAGAAGAAGATTCAGGGATCTGTTCTTGAAGCATTCATTATTTATCCCAACACACTCATGGATGCTCTAACCCCACATCAACTGGCCTCTTTTCTCATTGAAATGTCACCGAAGGAGGGAGTTATGGGTTATGGTACCTCTAAGCAGCGGCTTACTGCTTACTCTACCTGTGAGCGAATCCCTGGGTCTGTTGAAACTGTAACTGCAAGCTACACCCTGCACTCAAATGGACATAGTCATTCTCTCACAAACACACACACATACAATCCAGACATAATTGCTTGGTTACCCTTGCCAATGTGTTGGGAGATGAAATAAAATCACAGCTACTGACTTGCACCAAATTAGTTGTGCACATGCATCTAACATGTTCACACTGCATAAAATTGTACATCCCTCTATTTACCATCAGCCATTTTCTCAATTGCATGGTTCCCTCACCATTTCAGGTCTCAAACCCCTCACACATGCATGGAAACAGAGGAGGTGATAACCTTGAGACCTGTTGATGTTGTTTTGCAGCAGCTGTGTAGAGAATACACAAGAGGGCCGTGGGACCCCTGGAGAAAATGAGGTGCTCGACATGCTGATTGCAAAATTGGCTCGAAATGTGCAGGAGAGGCTGCTTGATGCAGTCAAAGGGAAACACACATGAATATGTATTGTATGCTAATGCTGGGCTCTGTAGCTGTTGTTTAGGGCAGAGAACAAGTTCCCTCAATCTCCACCCTCAAAGTGCTATTGACAAACCTGTTGTCAGCTGGGCCCCCTCCCCTGGCCAGGGGGCAGTGTTTTGGCAGATATCACCAGTCAAGGTGACACTGCAGGATGTCTGGGGAGCACTAATGTCTGCTCATTTTACCACAACATTTAACCCTTTTGTGGTCAGATAATGGTTTAGATAAAGTGACATTCAATCTAATGTTCCCATCAGACCTTATTTGAGCCGTTTAGAAAAGGTTTGTCCTCCCTTATTTTATCTCCCACTACATCAATACTGATTTACCATTTGGTCATTATTCTAAGACATTTTCACAGAAATGTGATGATCAGGATTGTCTGCTATTCATTCAGATTGTAGTCATTCAAGAATAGACATCTAAGAAAACAGATCAAAGTTTGATTCTTCTTTAAAGTTAAGCTTTTCAAATAAATCATTTTGTAGGTAAATAATACATTTTGTTTCATTATTTAAGATAAGGCTGTGCAAGATATAGCCTCTGTTCTTCTCTCTTTAAGGTTAGGGCCATATTTTATGTCTATTAACTATCAGCTTCATATTTTATTTCTAGGATAAATCCAGTTCAATCCATAATACTATCATCCCCATAATACTCATATCATACCCTGTTTAACATGTTTCATGCTAAATAACACGCTTCAATACTTTACTAACGTTTAAATGTTTACCTCGTATTTGACTCGACCTGCTGGTGAAATTGAAAATGTCCTAAAAATTGTTATATTGTTTAGAAAATAATAGAATAGAATAAAATAGAATAGAACATTGCAGCATTCATGCACACACCAGGGTGAATAATTAGAAAAAGATCACCCTTTTAGACATAAAGCTGTACTTAGAGAATTATGTTTTTAAGTTCTTTATGTTTTAATATCAAAAGACTTAATGTCTGGTGTTTTGGGGGCACTTTGCAGAATCCTCTCACATATAGAAAGGGAAGAGTAGTTTGGATGACAAAGACCTAAAAAACATTTTGCTACAGAGGGTATATTGGCAGGACATGGCAGAAGATCAGGTCTTTACAAGTTCGATATATGATAATTAAAATGGTTTAAAAAAGTAGCAGTTTTAATGCTTGTCGAACTATTTGGTCCTTTCAAAGCAGCCTAGTGAGATCAGACCTACTAAATATCTAATAAGTATGTAGGGAACACATCTAGCACTGCCCTGATGGTTTGGTACGCATGTGTACAAAAACAACTACAGTGTTATTTCTGCACATGTATATGCGACAAAACAAAAAAAATCAACAGAAAAACTGCCTGACCTGCAGTGCTAAGAGACAAGGTACACATAGTTGATAGGTCACCATTGATAGGTCACCAGTTCTTCATAGGGCATCATAAAGACTCAAAAGATAATGCCATGAAGTGTGGACTGCTGGACAAAGACAGAATACACAGAAACAACTCATTTATGCAAGGGGGGAAACATGCTATTTCTGCACTACAGGATTTAACACTGTTAGCGGGACTCAATACCTCATTTTTGTGTTTCATTAATTTTCTATTCTGCAGCAGACTTCTATTTTGGAATAAACTGTTGCTTCCTATTTAAAAAAGAGCATGTATAGTTTTAAAATAACAAACACCAACATAAACGCGGATCTTGGGCTGGAATGATTAGTAAGTCTTTGGTTCTGGAATGAAAAATTAGGCTGTTTGTGTGTCAACACTATTTTTATTTGATTGCATAAATATTTTATTTGCAGAAATATATCATAAGCTTGTGGTTCTCTGCAGCGATTGTTTCACTATTTATTCACTTTCTCACACAGACTCTTTAGAGTCTATTTAATGTAGTTTGACAGTAAGCAGCAGTAAACTGAATCTGCGTATACAAACTGCCATTAACACATCCTGTGATGAGGCGGCTTTAGAGGATCAGCATTTGAAATCTGTGTTTCTGCTCCTGTCAGCTCTAATAAAAGAGCGACTGAAGGGCGTTTTGACAATGCCTCTCTCCGACACTCCTCCACGAGAACCCTGCATAGACGGAGAAGAATAGTCAGCGGCTCGTCGGACAAAAAAAAAGACAAATACTTGCTGATGCCTTTGATTCAGCATGTATTTCTGTGCTCTGTGTTTGTGCCAGACTCAGATTGGTGTGCACGGTGTGCACATGTTCACTGTTGACGTGTGGATATTTGACTGCTGGGTGTGAGTGCAATCAGATTTCAATCTCTCTGCTCTATATGGCTGAGTTGGTGCAGCAGAGGTGCCCCACGGGAAAATGTAATTATACCCTGCTGGCCACAGAGTGCGGGCTTCACTGCCCTATCTGTCCCAGGAGACAGCGGCTTAAGGCCCCTTCTCACTGCGAATATCAAACAGCAGCAACATTACTAAAGCCATCGTATAGCTTAACATTCTGCTTTAGATTCTCTGTCGAATGTCCTTCTCTGACCAGCATGAGATCCAAGTTTTATCTGTTTTCTTCTTCTTTACAGCTGTGAATTATTTATTGCAGAATTAACTGGTGGCTGAGAGCAATGATTTGTAAGATATAGGAATAAGGAGAGAATAAAGCAAATTTCTTGAAAACCAGTTTTGCTTACAGGTATACAAGTTCATAACACGTCTGGTGTAATTAGTACTTTAACAAACATCCTTTTCCTTCGCTTTACTTCAGTTGTTGACGCAAAAATGTGAATCATTGATTTTTTTTCCCTAACATTTTATATTCCTTTTTTCTCTCTGCCAGTGTTTCTTTCTCTCTTTAATCTCTCTGTTTGCTCTTCTGTGGGCTTTCGGCTGAGGTGCATGCTGAGATGGCGTCCATTAGTAAGGCAAAACAAACAGACACACCGCGCCCTCCTGAATTTCGGCATGCAATCAATGAGGGCACTCGGATAGCAACAGACTAAGTGGCCCATTAAAGTCACAATTAAATGAATAGAGTACTGCAGAACCCAAGACGCTATGACCCAAACCAACTCAAAATAGCTTTTATTTTTCTTGTGTTGTAATTTACTCTTTAAATGGGACTTTTAGCAAATCTTGGCCTAAAAAAAGATCAGATGGAAAATTGATCAAACAGAAAAGAGGGAAGCTAATGGGTTCATCTGCAAAATAAATGCTTGCTGTAAATAGAGAATAGAATGCAGAAGAATCTGAGATGTAACCCATCCAATCGCTTGTGTTCTGCGTTTGGTTTGTTGTAGTTTGTCATGGTAGCTTAAGGGAAGCACAGCAGAGCCAGGACTCCTGTCTTTTTCAATTCTCTGAATTTGCCACACTTTGAGTAGCAGCAGTTCAAGCAGAAAAACTGAGGACACCCACCAGGGTCAGCCCTATTGTTGCCTCTTCTAC